TAGAAACACAGAAACCTCAAAGAAGAGTGAGTAATTAACAAACAACTTCAATATTTTCCCCCTACTCACACTTCGTATCCGCCAACTATCAAGAAATTACTTACTTGCCTTCGCAATATGTTGCTTGCTGATTGCCGCCACATAAATTCGAAATTACTGCAGCACAACGTCAGTCTCGTAACTCATTTGCGGCAAAACATTTCACTTCACACATTTTCAGGGACAAAATTTTGCAGTTGTAGCTAGTGTTTGCTAATTAAATTAGAGAAGGGAGAGTGGACCAAAACAAACAAAAAAAAATGGTAGAGAAATGAAAAGTAAATTAAAAACTACAAACTGCGCGGCCTCTCTTATTGTAGTGTGGTGTAGGAGGGACTAATGGAAGCGATGAAGGAAACAATATTTACATAAAGGTAGCGGCGTTGGCAAGGCTCCACACCCCYTGCAAGGGTGGCGGGTGCTGCTTGGCGCTTGATGTGTTGATTGTTGAGCGATCCGTTGATAAGGAGAGTGAGGAAGGTGTGGCAGAGTCTTCCAAGTAAACAACAGCCGGCGCAAATGAGTGAAGAGATCATAAGAAGAAATAAGGTAGACGAAAAACAAGCAAATTTATCGCGGTGTCGCTGCCGTTTTTGTGAGACCAAATAAAGGGGCACAGGTGGAGAGTCTTCCAACAATATACATAAATGTGTCGCCAATGGAAACTGTTGCTACTGTTGAGACTCTGATAGCAAGAGGTGCCGCGAAAAAATGCAAATGCCTACATTAACCAAAGCAAGAGAGTTCGATCGAAACTGACGTCCAAAAGTGGCCACGAAGTTGAGTTTCCTGCAGCAAAAAGGGGATATTACATAACCTCAAGATACAAGCGCATACATGCATAGATATTAGTATGCAAATAGCCGACTTTATGCATTCATTAGCTCCTTGAAGTGACTTTGTTTTTACACATTTATTAGAAATACAAAATAGATTTTTTATTATATACGGTGTATAAGCAGACGAAGGACTGATACATGTTCGCTGATTCTGCATTTGAGAGTAGATATACAGATTTTTTGAAAGTATGGAATAGGGAGTTGCTTGTGGCACGGAATTTACGTAGCGTGGCTGTGTTTAAATGATGTGGATAAGGAAAGTCACTTCATTGTCAACTGAGGATAACGTAATGACCTGATTTATCTCGTCAAATATCACAAGTATTGCTAGTCCACTAAAACTCATGGACTTCCTTTCGGTCACTACTTCACTTAATTATGATGAACTCAAAACCGAAGCAAGAACCAATTTATCTGCAAGCAAAAAGCAGAGTATGGGGTATTTTTTACATTCGGAGCCATCAGTATCCCCACATCTAATGAAGTGAAACTAAACGAAAGGTCTTAAGACGTTTAAATGATTTTATGTTTCAACGCAGTATCAACAAATCCAAAATATGAAACGAAAAGCCACACGATATTTATAGACCGTATTAAATTTTGGAGTAGCCACTAGATAAATCTAATAAAGCAGCTGATATTTGAAACAACCTAACCCTTGCCTCTTTGAGGACTATAAACAAGTATAATATTAGGTTGTCAAAAAAGTCTTGCGGTATTTTCACTAGTTGGCGAAAGAAGAATGCGTAGTTCTAGTTTTATTCGTCGCATCGGGTCATGCTATACCTTTTTCAAAAGCTAATTTCACGCGCTAACACGCGTTTGATGTCATTTCTTTTAAGTCGTTCGTGAGGTATAGCGTCGCAAACATGGAGCAAAATAAAGAGAAAATACGGCATATTTTACAGTACTACTACGATAAAAGCAAAAATGCATTTCAAGCCGCCAATAAAATTTGTGCAGTTTATGAACCCGATACAATTTCCATTTCCACCGCACAACGATGGTTTCAGCGTTTTCGTTCTGGTGTAGAGGTGGTCGAAGATGCGCCACGCTCCGGAAGGCCTGTTGTCGAAAATTGCGATAAAATCGCTGAATTGGTCGAAAGAGACCGGCATAGTAGCAGCCGTAGCATCGGTCAAGAGCTGAGCATGAGTCATCAAACAAAATTTTATGAAAAATTTAAAATTGAAAAAAAAAAATTCAATAAAAGTACCGCAATACTTTTTTTACAATCCATTATATATTACAAATTGAAGTTCTAAGAGCAATAGTTCAATTGCAGATTCGAAGAAATATGGAACTCCATTGAGTTTTACCGAAAAACTGCTGATAAGAAAAAGGCTGCTTAATAAAAACTCCATTTTCGAGACCTCTGCTCATATCTTAACATTTTTGTCAATCTCTGGCCTGAAAGTCTGCAGGCTGTGGAACATTCCAGATTCTTTCACTCAAAAAATTCTATTTTACAGCTTTATAAGTATAGTTACCAAAAAATAAAAAATAAAAAAAAAATAATTTTTAATCCTTTTATGAGAGTTGAGAGATGAGTATAATCAACTCAATACTTCTAAAATACTATATACATATATATTTTTCTTTACCTTAAACTTTTCTGTCATCTGTTTTCAAGCATAATTCTAAAATCCTCTTGACTTTTGACTCTAGAGAAAAAAAAGAAAGCGTAAACGTTTGTAACTGAGGATATCTGATGGTTTTAGACTTCATGACTTATGTTCTCGGACGAGCACCTAATATGAATTTCCAATGCCTGATTTAAGCTCTCAGTATGGAATCAGAGTTAGGGCACTTTCAGGTTTTTACGACTTCGTTTTCATATATTTTTTATATCCTAAACTATAGAAGCCGCAGCTGAGAGTGTACGATACACGAAGACAGTGGAGAATCGATGCGTCGTCGTTCGCATCAACTTTGACTGACGTATGAAATGACTTGGCGCTTTTTACGTCGAGCTCTTAAATTGAAAGCGCACAAGCCTTGAACTTACTAAGCAAGATAGATTCTTCCTATGGGCTCTTGAATAGTTCCAGTGGAATCATCGGCCCATATTTCTTAAAAAATATTGCCGGTGAAAACGTAACCGCGGCCATTAATGCGCATTATTTCGCCGATCATTTCATGCCTGAAATTGAAGCTAGTGATCTCTACAACATTTGGTTTAAGCAAGACGGTGCCAATTCCCACACATCGTATCAATCAATGGATTTATTGAAATTACATTTCGGTGAGCAGATAATTTGATGTTTTGAGTCGGTAGATTGGCCGCCAAGATCGTGTGATATCGCACCGTTAGATGTTTTCCTGTGAGGATAAAGTCTATGCAGACATCCCCGCTTCGATTCAGGCCTTGGGAAACAACAGCACGTGTGTCATTTGCCAGATAACTGAAATGCTCGAACGCGTCATCGAAAATTGAACTCACGGAGGGACCATCTGAGACTTAACCGCGGGCAACATTTGAAAGAGATAATCTTCAAAAAATAAATGTCAATTAAAGTTCTTTCGAATGATAATAAACAATCCTCATTAAATTTGAAGTTTTTATGTTTTTTCTTTAAAATGGTAGGGAAGCTCGAAATGGATTACGCTTTATATTAGATATTGTGCCGATGTAAGGCTTTATATAGGAAAAGGATCGCCATTATAGGTGGCGGTTGACTTGAAGTTGTAGAAATAATAATTTTTTTTTTTTATCGATGAACAGAATTCATCATCATTTCAAAGGATGGTTCGGAGAGAACAAGATAGTGTGATAGGATTTTGGTCGCAGTAGTTTCACAATAGAGATTTATTATATTCAGTGTTTGGTGTGCCGTCAAACATCTACCTACCTACTTAGCTAGCCAGTTTGTCCGTCTGTCTATACGACAATTAGTCCCTCAGTTTTTGAGATATCGATCTAAAATTTTGAACACATACTTTTCTCCCAAGAAACTGTTCGATTGTCGAAACCGCCGACATCTAATTACTGTATTATATTTGTAGCTGTCATACAAAATGATTGGTCCAAATCAAGTTCTCCTATGGAAAACTTTTTCATTTCACGAGATATCTACACGAAATTTGCCGAGGATTTTAGTGTAAGGTAGTCGTACAATCCCCTAAGAAATTGTTCAGATCGGACCTCTAAAGCAGTTGTCATACAAACGGAAGAGGATAAAGATGGCATCGCCACTGAACACATGAGTAGTAATTGGCTTCCATCTTAGCTTCATATGAACATACATATGTATTTGGCCAATCAACATAACTGTTAAGTAATAAAGGATGGCGCAACAAACACCAACGATTTGGTGAACGAACATTCGTTAATCCTACACTAAATATGCTTCGCATGTAGGCTATCACATCCCAAGTCAAATGCGCACATTATTTGTGCCCGACTAAAGTGCTTTAACGGTGCGTGAGTGTTTGTGTGGCACATCCGTTCGCCTAGGTATGTATGTATGTGCATGTGTGGGCAGGCAGACAGAGCGTGCAATGTGAATGTACTTAGGCAACATTTTCGCGACTCCTGGCTAATGGACGCTATCGAGCAGGCAGCGGTGCGCGCCTGCTTACGTGGGCGGCATTTGCGCGACGACCAAAAAACAACCAAAACAACAAGAAAGGCAGCAAATTAATAAGCTCGATGAAGGTAAGGGCTTTACGCCGCCGGTCGCAACATGTTCGAATGTTACGAAAAGCGAGATTATTGGACAAGGAACAAAAAAATAAAAATAAAAAATACAAAAAAAGAAACGGCGATAATAACAAAAAAATAACAATAATAAAAACAACAAAATCAGATTCAACAACAACAAAAACTGAAATAATAGCAACAACAACAATAAGTGCAAATTTAAGGCTAACAAACAACAATAACAATAAAAAAACAGGAGCAAAACAGCAACTTTATGTTGGCAACAACAACAACAAAAAGTCTGAAACAGGCGAACTGGCACAAGTAGGGAGGAAAAATCGATTTTTCGTGTGTACGCCGATAACACGCAGCGCCTTTTTTTGAGCAAATAGGTAAGGCACTGTGTGTATATGTGTGTTGGTGTGTGCAGTTTTTTTTTGTTTTTTTAATAGAACGGCTGATTAAAAGCATGCACTCACCTGCAAATTCGCCTTGTTATTTATACCCCTCTCTGCTAGGTCGTACGCTCGCAGCGCTTTACCTCCGCTTTGACGCCACGCTTTGCCGCCGCCTTTACTTCGCCAGCTTCGCTTTTTCGCTAGCGTTTTAGTTTAAATGCAATTGTTGTTTCACAAAATCCAACAAACAGCTGTACACTTTCTGAAATACTACTCCACTCTTAAGCGCGTATGCTAATACATATTATATCTGTAGATATGTATGCGCGTACTTCACTTCGAACTTCGAATTCACAACTTTGTGCGAATTTATTGCACAACACAACTTCGAAAAGCACTTTACACACTTGACTTGCATGTGTTTGTTGTATTTTATTTACGTATTTTTTCGCTGCTGATTATTTTATTTACTTTTAGCTCAACATAACGGTACTTTTTTGATGGCAATAACCTCAACGTAAGGCAAGCAGGGCTTACGCGCTACACAAAACACAATTTCGGCACTTTTTCGTGAGCAATTTTTTTTTTAACATTTTTTTAATTCAAGAATTATTTTCTTTAAATTTTTTCTATATTTTTATTTTTTTTTTAATACTTGTAAGAATTTCTGGCAAAAGCACGGTTGTGCGTACCGTTTTTCTCATAACTCCACTTTTTTCCACATTTTTCGCTGAACTTCATTGCACGTTGCAAGTCACTGTCTCGTCTTTCCAGCAACTTTAATAGAGACATTCATGAAGTTTACTCCGCGAAGTCATACATACCATTCCCTACATGCGTGTATGTTCGTTTGTATATGAACCGCATTTGAGCATCACTTACCGCTGTACAATATGCTCCACCGAGACACGTCTAATTCCATTCGCAGCGCATTGCACACTATTCGAATGTATTTATGAGACCACGATGACGATGACGACGACGACGACGACGCGTCTGCCCGACTTGGCGCTGCTTTCGGCAGTGAGCGACCTAACCAGTGCGCGTGTCGAACGCCGAAGCATTATTGGCAATGAAATGTGGCGCGCGCAGGGGGGCGGCGCTGCCAAAGACAACCGCTCTGGTACTCCACAAGTAATATATGAAGTTTCAGCAAGCTAAAACAATAACAACACTTAAACAAAAACAAAATCAAAAGCGTAGCGCAAAGCGTTAAGCTTTGCCGCTGACACTCCAAGCAAGCACCAAACGAAGTGGTAAACGAAGCTTGTCAGCAAACAAATGACGTGAGCGCGTTGGCTGCGCCAGTGTGTGGAGCGACACGCTGGAGTTCTGAGCTGTGTTTGATTTGTGGCGTGCGACTTTACAGCATCAAAGCTGGTCTCCACGAGCGTGTTAACTGTGTTAGCGCTTGACTTTGTTTGTCTTCTCAGCATTTGCCGCTGAGACGGCGCCAAATCGGCGTTCCAAGAGTAAAACCTCAATTTGAGCCACGTAAAATTAAAACACTTCGAAGCAGCTCCGCAAATAGTGACTAATAAAAGATTTTAACACCAAGTCGCTAATATTAAAAGAATAACATTAACCCTTCATTAACGAAACGCGTTTTTGAACTAAAAGCGCCGCTCTCCTTTATTTCGTTTTAGTTGGGATTTTGTTTCACGCTTTCGGAAGAAAATAAAAACAAAATTAAAGTCAAATTCAGTCAACACTTGCACAATCAACAGAAAAGAGGAAATAAAAATAAAAAAATTAAATAAAATAAAAACGAAGTCAAAACAAATACAACATTGACTGCATTAACACTCTGACGGCCAGCACTGGAGTGTTAGGTTACAATTCGAACATACAAATATACATATTTACATACACATATATAATTCGGAAAACACGCCGCTCACTTACAGTAGATTGCAAAATTTTGTATACATTCGAGTTTTTCATGAGACCAAGCTCTAAATTCATGCAATGAGTTCTGTAAATAAATAAAAGGGAGTGAAGTTATTTTGAAGGCCCGACGTTACTGGAATCGAAAATCCTGTAAATCTAGTAAAAGAATCTACTAACAAGTAAGGAAGGGCTAAGTTCGGATGTCACCGAATATTTTATACTCTCGCATGACAAGTTTCATCAAGATATATCAATTTTTACTCAAGTTACAGCTTGCACGGACGGATAGACAGACATCCGGATTTCAACTCTACTCGTCACCCTGATCACTTTGGTATATGTAACCATATATTTGACGATATATACCGTTATTAGCTATTTTATTGCGAGAGTATAAAAATGATGCCCTCTGAATTACATGAAAATGTCTGAGAGATATTTTCGGTGATTATATTCCTCGTGTTCGATATAAGGGACCTTGAAAAGTTATAGTCCGATCACGACAATTTTTCCGCAAGGGATACCACAGCTCAAATACCATATTTGTGTAAAGCTTTATTCCGCTATCATCATTGGTTCCTAATGTATATAAGTATTATACAGAGAAGGCATCAGATGGAATTCAATGTAGCGTTATATTGGAAGTAGGCGTGATTGTGAACCGATTTCACCCCTATTTCGTACGTGTCATCATGGGTGTTAAGAAAATATTATATACCACACGCCACACCCATTTTCAATTTTTAAAAAAAGCCTGGGTGCAGCTTCCTTCTGCCATTTCTTCCGAAAATTTTGTGTTTCTGCCGTTTTTTGTTAGTCGGTGAACGCACTTTTAGTAATTTTCAACATAACCTTTGTATGGGAGGTGGGCGTGGTTATTATCCGATTTCTTCCGTTTTTGAAGTGTATTTGGAAATGCCTGAAGGAAACGGCTTTATAGAGTTTGGTTGACATAGCTATAGTAGTTTCCGAGATATATACAAAAAACTTAGTAGGGGGCGGGGCCACGCCCACTTTTCCAAAAAAATTACGTCCAAATATGCCCCTCCCTAATGCGATCCTTTGTGCCAAACTTCACTTTAATATCTTTATAAGTTTTCGGTTTTCGCCATTTTGTGGGCGTGGCAGTGGGCCGATTTGGCCATCTTCGAACTTATCCTTCTTATTAAGGCAAGAAATACATGTACCAAGTTTCATCATGATATCTCAATTTTTACTCAAGTTACAGCTTGCGCGGACGGACGGACGGACAGACAGACATCCGAATTTCAACTCTACTCGTCACCCTGATCACTTTGGTATATATAACCCTATATCTGAGTCTTTTAGTTTTAGGACTTACAAACAACCGTTATGTGAACAAAACTATAATACTCTCTTTAGCAACTTTGTTGCGAGAGTATAATTATTGCCTGTTGTCTAATCGAATATTCCGGTTGTTTTTCCGCAAAAGCTCGCTTCAATCTGATGAGTTGTTTCGGTAGCACTCCCATTAATGATTTCACGCGGTTATAGAATCTCAAAACACGCCACGTTCTTCTTATCCTACCGCATAGAGAGCATTACCTCGTTATCATGGATTTTGGACTTCGTTGTTGAATTTGGTGGTTGGCCAAGTTTATCATATAATTTTTTTCATTTAACATTGTTATAGTAAATACAATTTTCATTTCTTTACACATTCATGAAGAAAAAGGACTTATTTTTATAGCGTTTAAGCAGCATTTCTGACATGCGAAAATGTCTTTCAAAGTCTCTTGTATTCAATTCGTTTATATTGTAGTACCAATTCCCTTTGATTTGGTATGATTTAGCTTTTAAATATTTTGAAATGGTTGTTTGAATGATTCTCATATAATCTGCGAGCTCTTGTTGTGTTTGACTACAATCTTCATCGAGTAATGCCTTCAGTTTCAAATCTCTAAGAAACTCTGTAGAAAGATATTTAATAACTCTATTCATGAAATTTCCTAAATTAACGATCAAGCTTTTTCTCCTAAAGTTTCACTAACGAAATATATATGTTTAACTGGAATCACTTGAATCACTGTTGTGACCTGTTCTTTAGCTTGTAGTGACCAATGCACAAAATTTCCGTCATAAGAGCCAGTTTCAGAAACTGTTCCCATTTAAGTAAAAAAAATTAGTTACTGTTAATTCCCTAGTTAGAATTTCTAATTCAAGATTCAAGATATTTCTGTTAAGGGTTGACTAACAAACTTTCCAGAACTGGACTCCCTAAAGACGATTCCGGCTCTCTGTTAATTATATGAAGACGGCATATGTTCTCTGTATATTTGGGTTTCATAAATAGATCGGTGTATTATTCTGCTCTAAAATTTGTGGCATCTGAAGTACTACGATTTCCATACAGCTGCCTCGTTGGTCAAGAATCAGAACCTTTTTCATATTTAGGTATGATCAAATGTATACTTACTTTTGTGAACTACTGTTGTTATATGTGTTTGTATGAATAAAGTTTAATACTCGCATGACTTGACTTTAGTGTTGGGATTATTTTGTTAGTGAGCGAATCTTTAACAAATCATTTACTCACCGGGCATGCGCCATAACGAGCCTTTCTCTCTGTATCACCAACTGTCATTCAGTGTTGTCCTTTAAAAGAGTTCTGGTGAAAACTAAAGCAATTCTTGCCACTGAGGATACTATGATTAATTTTTTTTGGAAACTTTTAATAGGTTTCTATTCTTAAATTTAATTCGATAAATATATCACCTCACGGGTCTGATGTACAAAAGTACCATAATGCTAGAACCTAACGACCTAACAAAAGTTCTGTTCATTATACAACTTATATTATATTGAGCCAACACTTTGTGAGATCGATTCTAGACCCTTTAGCTACTTACTTTGTACTAAATAAATTCACGTGAAGCGTTTACGAAGAATATGGCAATCGAACAAAACACTTCTGATTCTTGAAAAATGGATTTCTTTGCATCAATATCGAATTTACATAACGGGTGATCCAAGTAGAGATACTTTTTTAAAAGCCTTTCTTTGACAGATCACGCGTGAGTAGGGTCAAGCCGTCATATTATTTTTGTTTAGTATTGTTTAGCATTTCATCATGGAATGATTTACGTCTGGACAATGTTTACAAATCGTTCAGCTTTATTAAAAACATTCACCTCCTGTAAAGAATATGTTTCGCGCGTTTCGCTCAACTTACGGTGAAGCGTACTATTCGCAATATCATCACCCATCTTGAAACCCACCATTCACTACATATTAGATAATATTGGTAATAGACCACGTCCTGAACGCAGTAAACAAAATGTGGCAGTCAGAGCTGAGAGTGTACACGAAGACGGTTGAGAGTCGATTCGTCGCCGTTCACAACCACTTGAGCTGACGTATGGAACGATTTGGCTCATTTTACGTCAAGATTTTAAATTAAAAGCGTACAAAATATGGCCTATGCAAAAACTGAAGGCGGTCGACTTTCCCAAGCGACATCGCTTCGCTCTGTGGGCACTTGAAAAGTTCAATAAGTTCCGAAATTTTCGAGTCAAATTTTGTTCAGCAAGGACACGCACTGGCTCAATCGGTATGTAAATAAGAGAAATAATTTCCGCATTTGGGACGAAAAGAAACCTGTAAAGACTCAAGAGCTCCCATTTTATCCAGAAAAAACAGATGTTTGTGTTATTTGTGAGCCGTTGGAATCATCAGTCCATATATCTTCAAAAATGGTCCCGGTGTTATCGCGTCATGATAACTGATTATTTGATGTCTGAAATTGAAGTTCGCGATCTCGTTGAGATTTGGTTTCAAGAAGACAACGCCACTTCCACATGTCGCATCAATCAATGGATTTAACGAGCGAACACTTCGGTTAGCAGATAATTTCACGTTTTTGACGGTTCGATTGGCCACCAAGATCATATGATATTTAGACTTTTTCCTGTGGGTGTAAAGTTTAAAGTCTATGCGGACAATCCCGTTTCGATTCAGGGCTTGGAGCAAAACGTCACGCTTATCACTCGCCTCACTCAACGAATGGATAATTTGAGACATAGACTCTGTATTTAAGATTCGCTAAAGAAATTTTATCCCAAACAGTAGTACTGATCGACTTGAACGACGTTTTTTAGATATATTTTTCAGGTACTGATCGACGGCATAAGATTTTTGGTATAATATGAGGATAATAATTTCGATTTCTGAAGACACATTGAGGTGCAGTTATTTTTACAAAAGGCATTTTTGTGAATAATTTTTGATCATTAACTATACTCAGATATGGTATTTTGTTTTTTAATTCCTTTAAAGAGTGATATAATGATTATAGCGATCCTCCAGCTTTTCGATGCCATATTTGTTGTACGATTTGTACATTGCTTCAAAATTTACCTCAGTTCGGCCTCGTCATGCACTGAAAATTTCTTTCCAACGAACATTTTTTTTTTTTTNTACGATTTGTACATTGCTTCAAAATTTACCTCAGTTCGGCCTCGTCATGCACTGAAAATTTCTTTCCAACGAACATTTTTTTTTTTTTTTTGAAATCTGCGAAATGCAGCCGGTTTTCGGCGAATTAGTCATTCAAAGGGCCTAGTAATGCTAAGTAATAATACATGCTTACCTAAAAATACCGACGTCATAACCTCGACAGTGAACAGTTTGGGTTTTCCCAGCTTTATAGCAGGTTCATCCAGTGCAGTCCAATTGGATGACTATGGATTGGATTTCGGAGTTAAAAAATGGAACCATATTTCATCCATTGCCTTTCGAAGCATAAGTTTGAGTTTATTACTAAATTTGTAGAGGTTTCAGTTTGCCTTCAGAATACTTAATTCCTCATTACTAGTATTTTTCAAACCATTCGTACAGTCAAATCAAAACTCGTTTGTTGTAAACAAACTTGGGAGTATTATATGTATTTATTTTGAAGATTAAATTCGAGAGTCTAACAAAAATACAACTGAAATATTTGAAAGTCTACTTGGAAATCAAAATACAATCGGTTGTCCAACTGGGTCAGCAAAGACCACATACCATGAATGAGAGCTATAAGCACCACCATTTGAACGCGCGAGGTTTCCATTAGCAACGATATCACTTAGCACCTGACCGAAATGCCAAACAAAACAGTGTTACAATTTTCATAAGCGTTTCAGAAGGCGACGGTAAATGAAAGGGCAAATTTTTCACACAAGTTTACAATTCTTCAAGAGAATTTCGAAAATGTTTGACAAACGAGATAACAAACCAGCTGGCGACAAACGCGAGACCATACAAGAAATTGCAATTAAACTAGCCGAGGAGCAATTGCGTACGCTGCAAGCGGAGAGTGGACCTAAGGAACGTACCGTTTTCGTGCTAGGCAGCAGAGGTGCCGTAAGTAAATATTTGGAATAGCAGTTACAAAAATTTTTCAAACCTATTGTTTAAACCGCTCTGTTACAGGGCAAGTCCACGGTGCTACATAAATTCTTCGAACGCGAGGACAATCCACGACCCACACTTGCTTTAGAATATTCATACGGCCGACGCACGAGCGGCACACAAAAACAGGTGTTGAATGTGTGGGAGCTCGGCGCTTTGGACAATGCAGAGCAGTTGATTTCAGTGCCCTTACGCACACATGGACTCGAAAATTTCGCGGCCATTATAATGTTGGATCTCTCGCAGCCGAAACACGTTTGGCCGGAATTGGAGCGCATTTACCAGGCGCTACGCAGCACGAGCAGTAAACTGTTGAGTTCGGATGAGGAGCAAATGTATCGCGAGCGTATGGCGGACCGGCTCAAAAAGGATCACAATGATTTGGAGTGTCTGGAGTTGATGCCATTTCCGATAGTTATAGTTGGTGGCAAATATGATTTGTTCAAAGATTTCGGTTTGTATGCGTTGAGGCGCACTGTTACTTTAATTTAAACCAGTTCTTTCTAGACACCGAGCTAAAGCAACATATCTGCCGTTGTCTGCGTTCCATGGCACACTTGATAGGCGGCAGCGTACTCTTCTATTCCAATAAAATACCCAAACTTGCGAAAACACTACGCGATACCATAAGTCACTTGGGTTTCGGTAGTCCCACGCATCCATTTCGCTCGCATGTGACAGACAGCGCAGATGCACTCTCTATTTGGTTCGGTACCGATAGTTGGGATCAGATTGGCAGAGTCGGTGTGCTGAGTGTAGAACGTATTGGCTCACTACTGGCCAGCGAGGCGCCACAGCTGAATGAAATGGCAAAGAAACGTTCCGCGAAATCGAAAACACATATTAATGATCCAGCCAAGGACGCAGGGTTTCGTGAGAGCATTATTGATGAGATGCGCGCTCAAAAGGATAAAGAACTGCAGGCAATCATCAAGGAATCACAATTACGTGGACAGTTCGAGACGATTGTTTGAAGGGAGTTAAGCGCTGAAAATGAAATATAGTTATGGAAAGTTATGTAAATGAGTTATGAAAATTGGGATATTTGTTGTTTGTAAAGAAATATTTCGGTACAATTTGTAAGCTGTGACTTTAAAGCTCAAATAATAAACATATTACAATCTTGTTCGGTAAATAAATTCACATTTACTTCGGGAACTGAGAAATATATGTCTAATTCTTTATAACCTTCGTCTAACTGAACGAGTTGTTGGACAATTTCGACGTCCTCAGATACATTATCGAGCATGTCTTCTGCGACCTCTGCTCATTGTCGGTTTTGCAAACGATTTAGATCTTTTGGTAGGAGTCTAACATTGACAGGCTTCATACCAAAAACATTAACCAAAAAGTGTTGAGTCGATCCTCAACATAATGACACCCTGTTTCCTCCTATATTATGATTTCCGAGCACTATTTCTTTATCTTGCCGAGTTTAGTATCATTATCAGTAGCGGATGACGAATCGCAGTTCACAGTTCGCTCAATCGACTGAGCGGGGTGGATCATATACCCTGATCTTCGACTTCATCCCTGCAAATATCATATTGTAGCAGTACCACCTCTGCTGGTTAGTTAGAATACCAGCATCGGATGACCTTACCTAACTATTTACTAGGTATGAACGTAGTTCTATATCTCTTTCTCTGTCCCGTGAATGAGAAGGGATTGAAAGTACAAGTATTTCTAAACTCTGAAAGTAAATTTCGGGTGGTACAATCAGATCCGAAAAGATGCTCATTTGTCGGAATTGCCAATATTACGCCACTATATAATATAACAAGAAGACCGACAGAGGTAATGCTCGAATATTCTAGGAAATGATGCTGCGACTAACTTCAAGACTGCAGCATACTCTTGTGGAAACCCCAAAGGTGATTTAGTGAGTAATGCCCAGAGAAAACTAAAATTATTGAGGGAACATTTCTCCAACCTGCTGAATGGCAGTGAAAGTACAACGCCAGTAGAAGGCGAACCCGATTCCCCAATCAATGACGATGGAGCGAACAATCCATTGCCCGAACTTAAAGCAGCTCGAATAGCACTTACACGTCTGAAGAACAACAAAGCGCCGGGGGCCGATGGATTGTCGGTCGAGCTATTCGAATACTACGGCGAAGAACTGGTAAGGAGTATACATCAGCATCTTCGTAAAACATGATCAAACGAAAGCAAGCCCGACGATAAAAAAAAGTAAGTATGTTCTGCCAAATCTAGAAAAAGGGGGACCTCACAATCTGCGAAAACTACCGCGGAATAAGCCTCCTCAACATCGCGTACAAGGTTCTATCGAGCGATTTGTGTGAAAGACACACACACTACCTCTTCATCGATTTCAAAGCTGCTTTTGACAAAACGAAGAGGAGTTGCCTTTATGCCGCTATGTCTGAATTTGGTACCCCCTCAAAGTTAGGATCAAGAAGGATCAGAAAGAACGGCTCGGAGACGTTCGATACCAAAACAGGTTACAGACAAAGCGACTCCTTAACATACGACTTCGACTACAATCTAGTGTAGGAGAAAATAATTCGAGTTACAGAACTAAATAACGAAGGTACCATCTTCTATATGAGTGTACAACTGATAACGTATTGATATCATAGGTCTCAACAGTCGGGCCGTTAGTTCTGTTTTCTCGAGACTGAATAAGGAAGCGAAGCAAGTGGATCTGGTAGTGAACGAAGGCAAGACGTAATATCTCTTGCCATCAAACAAATACTCGTCGCATTTGCGACTTGACTCCCATGTCATTGTTGACAGTCACAACTTCGAAGTCGTAGATAATTTCATCTATCTTGGAAGCAGTATTAACACCAGCAACACCAACACCAACAAGTGCTACTTCGTTCTGAGTAGACAGTTGAGAAGTAAAATCCTCTCTCGACGAACAAAAACCAAGCTTTACAAGTCGTTCAGCTATGTATTTGGTGGAGTGGCATAGGCGATGACAACATCTGATGAGTCGGCGTGGCGTGTTTGCGGGAGCAAAGTTCTGCGAAAGATTTATGTTCCTTTGCGCATTGGTATCACATTCGATGGAACGATGCGCTGTACAAGTTATGCCATTGATATAGTTTAGCGAATTAAGTGACAGCGGCTAAGCTGGCTGGGTCATGTCGTCTGAATGGAGGAAAACATTCCAGCTTTTAAGGTTTTCGATTCAATACCCGCCGGTGGAAGGAGGGGAAGAGGAAGACCTCTACTCCGTTCCCACGACAGTCGGGTCTACGTAACTGGTCAAGGATTGTTAACTCGGCAGAACAATGCCGCTACAACAAGAACAACAACAACAAAGTGTTTCCGTTGGAAGGACCAGTAGGAGAAGGACCTGCCTACACATACAGAAGTATGTTGACAGTGACCAAATAAAAATATTTAAATTACAACAACAACCCTAGTCTCCTGGCGTATATTTAAATATACAACTGCAAGTGTTTTTTACCGTTCGTTATATTTTATTTCTATATAAATGTTTGGTCGTTTTTCATTATATGCAGAATTATACTATACTCGTATAATATGCTTTAGCTTAAACAATTTAATTGCACAGAACGTAAAATACATACATATACATAATGCGACACGTGATGGTTTGTTTATTAAAATTTTCGAGGGTTTTCATTTCTTTTCTAGTTTGTAGCAGCCTAAGTACAAGCAAATACTACCAGTAATCATTTATTATTATTTATCGGCTTTTAAACATATTCCTAATAATTATTGTTATTGTTCATAATCGTATTGTATGTATGTATGTATGCGAGACTTATGCCTTAAATGTGTGTATATATTTATATAATTTACTTTTCAACGTTTTGTTTTCCAGCTAGGGTTTTAAAAATTTCACTAAAAGCTGCCAGTGAGTGACTTGCAGTTACGCAATACCAACACCCAACTGCGTATCCTGTTACAGGAAATATGTTTGTATACTTATGGTTGATAGCAACAACAACAACATGTTCAATTTTTACAATTCTATGCGCGTTGCTGCACCCCTTTGGGGACTTGGCAATGTTAGCTTAAAATACAAACAAGGAGAGAACCTGCACATTAACTGAGAACCGAAGTACAGTGGTGAGTAAAATTACCACAACAATAATGATAATAATAGTAATAATAATAATAATAGTAATAATAATAATAATAGTAAGCATAAGAATGTTAAAACAATTGTCTTAAATTAGTGCAACAACTAAGAAAATTAGGTGTAACGTGAAAAGCCACTGTAATGACTATTTGCGGCATGCAACATCGCCGTGGCATGCAACAACATTTGTGGCAACTTGCAACAATATTTGTTGCATGCAACACAGTTGTGACAACATGATTGCATCAACAGTCGTGGTTTGCAACAATAGTTGTGGCTTGCAACAACATTTGTGGCATGCAACAAACATTTGTGGCAACATGCAACAAATATTTGTGGCAACATGGAACAAACATTTGTGGCAACATGAAACAAACATTTGTGGCAACATGCAATAACAGTTGTGGCATGCAACAACAGTTTTGGTATGAAACAACATTCGCAGCATGCAACATATTCGCGGCATGCAACATATTTGTGGCACGCTGCATCATTTGTGGCAACATGCAGCAACAGTTGTGCCATACAGCAGCATTTGTGGCATACAGCAACATTGTGGCATGCAACAAACATTTGTGGCCTGCAACAAAAAATTTGTGGCATGTAACAACATTTGTGGCATGCAACAAAAAATTTGCGGCATGAAACAACATTTGTGGCATGCAACCACATTTAGAACATTTTAGAACGTCCATATCAGCTCCAGTATGTCGTCGCTCAAATCGGCTGGCGGCAACGCCTTCAACGTGCGCAACGTTTCCATATAAAAAGTCAGCTCTGACGTCACCACACCATGTTGCGGTCCACCATTATTGATGATGTTCAATTTAAGCAGTTGCTCTCTAAGCTTATCCTTGAAATTGCGATGCACAATGCCATAAATCAAGTGTATTTGCAGTTCGGGTAGTATAGGCGCAATCGCCTCGTGCAACTTCACTAAATGCCGCGAAATATTACGAAACGTTTGCGACGGTATCGGCGGACGTGCATCCCATTGCTCCAGCTGCATGGAGACGCGCTCCGTGACGATGCCGTAAATTTTATATTCAATTTCTTTGATGTGACTGTGAAAATCCTTTTCAATCGAATCAAAACCCGACACGGCGTGCGCATCGTAAGTGGCAAAATGTGACTTGATTTTCGGCAAGAGCCAGAGCACAAGTTGCAACGCGCGCGACACCAATGCCAAATTGGTGCTGGTTATGGTTTTGAGGCCGGCTACGCGCATAGCGCCAGCGCCAATAACCAGCTGACAGGAGCGTGAATTGAAGGTGCGCAGCAAATCGACAACATTGCGCGACAAGTAGCTCGCCAGTATGGGTAGACGCGTAGCGCAGTGACAATAATCGCTGAGCATTTGCACTAGCAGCAGCGCGGCACTAACTAGACTAAACGGTTTGCCTTCGACGAGCAGCACGGGGTTTGCTTGTAGCTTGCTGCTGCTGTTACTGTGTCCATTTATTGTAGCGCCTAGGTTTTCGGCAAAGGATTTGCTCGCCGGCTGCTGGAAGTCTTGCGCGCCCATGCGATCGATAATCTTTTGGAACTCATTGGGTATGTCGACCTGCCGCCAACGCTCCGAATCGAGTAGTAAAGCCAGTTTGCGCTTGCGCTCCGAGTGAAAGTGATTGGCGAAGCGTGAGGCTTGCACTTTGGCGGCAACCTGGGAGTAAAAGATAGGATAAAAATAAATTTTTATATATTTTTATTTCGTATATACCTTCAGTGGCACGCTGGGTGCGCCACAAATCTCCTCACAACCCGCACTGAACTCATCTACAATTGCGGTCAGCTGTTCGATCTCATCCGCCGTCGCTATGGTGCGCTCTAAACTTTGCGTTGACACCAGATTCGCGCAACGCTCATGACAATAGTTGCATACCGCCACCAGCAGCTCATCCAAGCGCTCCGTTACATTAGCATGATCTGCTGATGTTAGAAATGCTTCCGAGTCTATTAGATTAACAGC